CCAGGTTTGAGACCAATTTCCCAGGTAGTCAGTGTTCCTTTGTTTCAGCTGATAAATGGGGACACAAACCATGCTGACCACTGCTAGCTTAAAATAAGCAAGACCAAACCCAACCAAACAAAATAATCAAACACCTTACTATTATACGTCATACTGCTCTGCAGCATGGTTTTCTAATAGGTTCTGCAGTTTGATATCAAAGGAAAAATAAAATATGCTGCATATGTCGCTATTTCTAATTTCAAACCTCAATGCAATTCCACAGCTATTTTACTACTTCTCAGCTGGCCATTTCACACTAATATAAACAATTTATTGCTAAATCTAACATCCTTCTGCTGGGCTACCTATTAAATTTAGACAGACCACCTGATCTCATAACCCCTGAAGGCACAACCCAGAGCTCTATTCTTGATCAATATCCATGACCATTGTGGTACTGTGCTCAGCTTAAATTAACCTGCCTAGCTTGTCAAGAATGCAGTAACAAGAATGCAGCTTATATTCTTTATTATATCTTTTATAAATTGCATGAATAGTATACATTTTTCATGACAAAATGCAAAATAACCTCCAACTGATTCATTGCTCACCCAGATGAATGGTACTAATTTTTTTTTTTATTCTGAACAGCACATGCTGAACAGCACAGCAAAGACTGTTCTGAAACTGAGATGGTGTGCTAAAAGAACACCATCTGACTTACTTAAAAGGATTTTTTTAAATCATGCACAGAAGGAATGCTACAGCCACTGAAACACTGCTACTGTATTATAGGGCCTGTCATTGTACAATTGCTTTTGAGTTCTAACGCAGACTGAAGCTGCCTTACAGAACAACACAGACCATTCATCCAGCTATATCTAGTTGAATGAGCATCCAGCTTTTTTATGGCATACATTAATAATGCATTGGAAACATTTGTGCATTGCCTAGCAGCACAGATAATTTTTGTTTAATTTGTTTCTATACTATGCTGGTGAAGCACTGAAAAAGAGCAAATAAATTCTGGGCTTTCAGGCTTGACTGATTCATCACATTTATGATTTTGTAAGGAATATTATACCAAATTAACTGTGTATTTGCAGCTAATTATAAACATTAACTTACAAGTCTGATAACTCCTTATCCCTCCCCATAAAAGTCATGATAAACCCCTTTCAAATATTAATGTTTTATTCCTTTTTATTGAAAAATGAGAATACATATACTACTTCCTTTTCAGCACAACCCATGAAAGGGTTCCCAGACAATTTAGTATGTCCACGATATACCCAAAGATAAAAAGGGAATGCTGACTGGCTCTGAGCATACTTCTGTGTGCCTCTTCTCTGTGCTACAAAATATGGAACAGCAGCTTAACCACAGGCATGTTTTCCAAATACATTGTTTTAAAGTCACGATACTCTATATAAAACAGGCCTACAAAAGTTTTGGCCTACCTAATTTAAGGGTTCCTACCAACATTGCTTTTCTCTATATTGATCAACTGTGCTCCACAAGAAGAAAAAAAAATAATACTGCTGAACAAAATCCCTCTGAAATGAATTAGGACTTCACATGTCGTTATCTTTACGTAAGACCCAGAACCAGCTTCAGTTAACAACAGCTCATCTTACATCTTGGTTACACATCTGGGGCTGAATGCTTCTGATCATATTTACAAGGCCAGGCAGTTTCATTCTGTTCCAACTTCAATCCTCAGATGATGGCAAATATGGCAAGCTTCCTCACAGGGCTGATGTACAGATGAACACTACTAATACTAAGTATATAATAAAGCATTTTTCTGGGAAGTCCGGTAATCACAGGCTAGAAATACTCTGAATATGAACAATGGCTGCTGTGGAGGACAGGGCTGAGTTAAGTGAACCTGTAGTGTTACTCAGCACAGCTGGTAGGTATGTGGACTTCCAGACTACAGCTCCCATCTTCTTCTGCACCCACACCATCAAAAAATTGAAGTTTAATCTGTCTCTCAACATGGTTAATTCAATATGCACACTTGCTATTTCAGGGATTGTTAATGTTTTTCATTTTGTTTAAAATCTGTGGGCTCTCCAAATACTGCTTGGTCTCAAACTCACGTTCTGTGCTCTGGGTTGTGGCTATACCTCAGTTGCCAGACACTCAAAAATACACATTTCAGAAGTAAGAAATGAATACAACTGCTAGCCTATTTTCAAGTATTTTTTCAATCTCTTCCTCAATGACACAAAGAACAGTACTTATGTTCATGCATAGGGGGATGAAAAAAACCAAATCAACATCAGCTTTTACTTGAAGCTTGAGTAATAACGAGTTTCAGCATACGTCATCCTTTCAAATTTTATAGCCTATATATATTTACGCTTAAGCTGGAATGATGACTGATACAAGGCACGAGAGACAAATGATTGCCTTATCTGCTGCATTATGTTATTTAGCTAAAAACCCAAACAACCTATTTTCCTCCACAAAACATTCTTCTAAGCATAATTTGTTATTATAAGGTTGAGAAAGCTGCTCCCTTTAATTTTCAGAAACCATGTTACCTTAAAAAGAATTCTTCAGGAGCTGAAAAAACCCTACTGTTTAGCCTTACAGCTATACATATGGACAACAGATACTTAGAAGGAAAAGTAAAAAAAGCACATTTAAAAATGGCACTATATAGTATTCTGTTACAGGCTAATACTATTTCCTCACAGTCTTCTGTTACAATTTCATGGAATTTTTTCTGAAGTGTCCATCTAAACAGTTAGATATACTATTTTAAAGCTCAAAGGCAGAAGGACACTGTACAAATAAGGACACTGTACTTTATTTAGAATGTTCTGTTCTTAAAATAATATACCTTTGGATATATTACTTTACAAACACTAGAAAAATGGCCATTAAAAAGTTGGGACTTTTTTTTTTTTTTCTTTGAGTGACACTAAATGTAGTGAATTTTATCAAATGAGTAGACCAAAGCCTGTTTTTAGAGAGTGTCTTGTAAGAACCCAATCTTGTTCAGTGGACATAAAGACAAAAAAGGATGAAGATGCACTGATGCTAGCTTTGTGTGGCTTAAACCCAGGTCCTAATAGTAGTATACCATACTAAAACATTATTCTCACACGCTAATTAGACCTGCTAAAAAACATGGAGAAACAGGGTTAATTAATCTCAGTGAGTATCATACCAACATTGTTATACAGTTTAAGGACCTAATGTACTATGTTCTTTTTCCCTGGAGACACATTCTTACTGTCTAAAGACCTAGTAACCCCATCATCTTGAAACTGTCAGTCAACACTTCCATTCTGAATCTCTCAAAGGCACTTTCTGCCCAGCCAAAGAACTGAATTTTAAATGGAAAAGGAACTGTGATCTGTCTTTTCTGAGAACATGGAAAAAGCATACACCAATTTGACCTTCTAACATGCCATTCAGCAGAGTATCTACTTACTTTTCATCCCAAACATGATCACCTCTGTGGAAGATAACTAGGTTATTTTCAGGGTCCAGAGCCAACCCAGAAACTTGACCTAGTTTGAGGTCTAACCCAGGCCACTCCACAGCCTCCTCTATGTGGAAATCTGGCCAAAGAAACAAACAAACAAGACATACGTTCATTTAGCACATTTATAGAAAAACATGGCTAAGTGGCTTTGGGTACAGACTGTCAAGAATTATACGGGCACTTTCTTACATGCAGTATTTCCATTAATGCATTGCAATTTAATTCCAAGCATAGTTTTATTATAGTAAAGCATGCACAAGCACTGGCATCCTGCTACATATAGGATGACAGAAACTTCAAAACTGCTTTTGACTCCATTCTTTTCTTTCTCCATCTTATAAGGATACAGGTATACAGGCTCTAGAAGATTTAGTAGCTCTATGAATACTTTCTACATTGAAAGATTACAGAAATATACAACTACTATCCAAAATCAGCAGGCATATTCAAATATTAACCTATCAGTGTTTTATTAAAAAATGCATAATGAATCACTAAACCAACTACATATCAGAAGTGGTTGATTCATGACTTCTTTCAAAAAAACCTTTTAACACTAAGGAAAAAAATGCAGGGGAGGAAGAAAAACAGTAACAAGAAGCAAATAAAACAGTAATTCTGTGAAGTTTGCCTATGACATTTCTTACAGCCAACATATGCATTAGTTCTGGATCGTGTTCATATCCTAATCCAGATATTATAGGCATGAATAGGAAATAGATGTCTAAGTCTGATGAAACAGATGAGGAAAGGTAGAGTACCTGTCATTATTCATGCTGTAACTGTTTATAAGAATAAATACTGAATAGTTTTTGAACTACACAAATCTGATTTTTACACTAAATCAACAGCACACAATTTAGCAAGTGAACCACTGCTAAAAAGTCAGATACTTCTTGTGTTTGTCTTAAATCATAAAACTCCTCAATTAAGGGAGACAAATTTAGTTTCAACTTAAAGATTGAAAATAAAAATATAAAAAGAAGTTTACTTCAATCTTTGTTTTACATAAAATAGACTTACACTGATCAAAGGCATGAACAGTCCAAAATTTGAAAAAGTTGCAGAGTGTTGGCTACAAGGATTAATTTCTCACAAAGAGACTGCTTAAATGCTATTTGGAAGATGTTGGTCTAGGTTGCTCTAGCAGTATTAAAAGACAATTGAACAATACTGCCAAAAATAGAAAATGTAATGGCAAGAAAAATGTAACTAATTCTGATAAAAGAAAAAAAACCAAAAACCCCAAATCCTAAAATGCCTTCTACATGTTAGGAAATCCATCACTTCTTCCTTTCAGAAATTAATTTGTTCAGCATAGTTCAAGTATTTCTAATACGCAGACTTTGTATGTAGGCACATATAGCCAAACTGAAGGTGAATAGAAAGCAATGTCTTTGCAGTGAAACTGGAGCCATTTTACTAGCAAATTCAATGTGTTTGATAGCATCATGCTGTACTCTGCAACTTTCAGTTCACCCAAAGTTTCTGAGTTTTGCTGTGATACTAAAAAACGATCACTGAGGTACCATCTAGCCAGGTGAAACACATATCCCATTCACAAAGTGCCAGGGCATCAGTGCTTTGAAGCAAGGCAAATGACAGACCTTAACACACAGCACCCAAGGAGTTTGAGAGGGGTTCAGCTGGAAGTGATCTAATGAAAGGAAAAATAAAAAGGGAAACAATGCCCAAAATCTTCAGGTCACCTGTGCAACCCAGCTGTTGTGAGAAGCATACGCCTCCCCTTCCATTTTACTTAGAAAAGATGTAGTCTGAGGAGTAACAGCAAGGATGGGGTGGAGGGAAAACCATTTTCTACAATACACACAGGGGAAAGAGAAAACCAGTGCTGAAAACCTACCACAGGCTAGGAGATATTTTACCTTTGTAATTTTAGATACTGTAGCTGGAGTAGGTGACAGAGAAACTCTTTACACTAACATAAACCTAAGACAAAGCTAAGGCAATCAACAGCTGCAGTGAATCCAAGCCAGTAATCAGAAACTTCTACAGCAAGAAATTCTACTCTGTAGCAATTTTAGCTGAACAAAAGTTCCAAGCTAAAAGAAAAGCCGTTAAGAAAAAAAATATACACATTCGTACTTCTGTACAGTCCAGTTGGTGACGGCAGGTGCAGTACCAGGTATATCCACGGACATTAGCATTTTGAAAGGAATAAAAGGGTGTCTGCTGACTCACTTGCTCATCCCATATTGGTCTAAATTAACTTGCAGAACACTTGTGTACATTTAATGTTACAGTGCCCCTTGGCCTCTGAGCTTTTTCTAAAAAAAGGCTACAAAAATTAGAAAGCTAAACACAGAAAGCCTAAATTTTGGCCTCTGTAAAATTCAGTCTCTCAAAAGGCATGTACTATAAAATACAAAATGTTTACGCTTACACTTAAGTGACTAAAAGACTTCTGACAGATCAAAGCAGTAAAATAAATGTACAGTGAAATACAGTCTAATCACAAAAACTCCAGCCTCTACATAACCTTTAGATTTCCTCACCCTTTTCCAAAACCGATTTATTACTGTTGTATTTTCTTTTCCCTTTGAAAGTCTCATACTGAAAGTCTTTTGATACAGGTTTATTCTTAAGGCAATTAGCTATTTACAAAAACTTGCTTACTAAATGTAGACTTCATTTGTCTAAGATTGATTACTAATTCCCTACAAAACTAAGTGGTCCGTGGAACAGGTACACATGATAACAAAGAAAATTACTTTTCCCCATTAAAACAATTTACAATTACTTTGTTTAAAAAAAAAAAAAAAATCACCAGTTTTGTTGTAAGTGAGATTTCTGAACTAAGTACCAGATCTTCTACCTTGTAATTTAGAGCAATCCTTTCATCAGTAAAACTATAAAATAATTTACATATATCCAGAACATGCAAATCAGCCTCTAATCTCTCTTCAAGTGAAAGAATACTCATTTATTGGCAAAATTGGAATTTACTGTCCAGAAATCCCTGGAAGCTCTTGCTAGCTTTTAACATTACAAATTTTAGTCATGTTGCATTTACTCCCTGCCATCAGGGTAGTCATTTAAATCTTGACAAATGTAAGTAAGCACTGCACAATGGAATTTTAAAAACTGGAACACTACACTGTTTGCCTTAATTAGGCGGTATAACTGTACTGGTTGCAGTGATGTTGAACAACCTGACTGACTAGTGACCAGTCTTGGGGTAGTAAGATAACAACAGTGAAGGAAGAGCAGCAGTATAAAGTTATAAATGTAACATTTATAACAACCTTACTTAACTACTGGTCACTTGCTATTTCAGACCAGTTACATGTTTAAAATCGGAATACTTGCAAGACTAAAAATACTATTTTAATTTTGGTAATTGTTAAACAGTTAAATTAAATTAATTTAACAGCAACCAGAGCCTTGTCCCAAGAAATACCAAATTTTTTTTAATTCAATATAGTAATATAGTAAAGGATTTTATGAAGGGTGCAAATTTTTTTATTAAATCAAGACAAGTTAAAACACATTATGTTCCACTTCTTTGTCCCAAGAGGAAAATTCTGTTATGGAATTCTAATACAGAAATACTAGACAAAACAGAAACTAAGCATGTGCTTTAAGATTTTATTGCTAGAAAAGTTCTTTTTGCCAAAAGATGGCGCTGACAGCATCCGCAGTTCAGAATTTCTGCAGTTAGTAGTATCACAAACATAAAAAAAAAAATCAATGCTAATTAAGATAATTTACTTTTCCTTTCTGCTATAACTCAAAATTGTATCATTTGAAAGTCCATTTATTAATTAGTCCTCCACCAACAAATTCCCCCAAAATGAATATATAGCTACTAAAGTAGCTGAGCAAACGCATTCTCTAGTTAGAATTCATACCATATAGTGTGCCAACTAAGACATTTATTCAGTTCACTGATGCTCCCTCCCTCCTCTGGATCAGTTAAAACAGAAAGGAAATTTCTTTTTTCCCCTCTACACACCACGTGCTGTTAGTCTGAACTGAACAAATCGGTTTTGAAGAAATAGAAATGCTACACACACTACTCTTTTCCAAGCATTTAATTCCATTGTTCCTTATGTTATGATTTACACTTACGTCAGGCACATGGTAACATCCCACCTGTTTTTTGCCCCTATGCCAGCAACTTGACAGGCTCTCATTTAACTGACTAGCATAACACAACATTGGAAAGTCCTCGTCTTTGGTTTTCTGTTAAATACAAACCCAGAATTTTGCTGAATTTGAATGCTATAACAGAATCTCGCAGAAGCAGAAACAATATGTGTTAACATTTCGAACTGAAATAAAAATTAAATGGATGATGAATGATGTATATTTGTGTACAACAGTACTTGGAAACATCAAGCTGGCTGGTTGCAACATAAAAGCAAGCATGTGTTGCTACAGCTCACGCATACAGATGACTTTCATGCACACATACCAGGTTTTTTTATGAGATACTCGTCACATGCTGCATTATCTGTCTTTCCACATTAGCAAGTAAGACTAAGCACAATCAGTATCACAGAGACCAAAATGCAAGTAAAACAAACACAATACTTCCATGGTTTCTGCTGTCATAGAAACCTGAAGGGAATGAATTATAAACCTAGTATAATAAAGCAGCCTGTCCAAGAATATTTGGATAGCCAAGCCCAATTTGAAATAAATATGCAGAAAATTTTACTTCTCAAGAATTTTCCAGGACTAACTGCTGCTCTTTCTGCTTGAGAGAAAAAAACTTCAGATAGAATTACAGGAACAAATTCTATAAAATCTTGTATCTGACAAACCAAGGTAATCAGAAAACTCATAAAATGCATCAATTATCCCAGTGACCATTTTATAGTAGTTACTCGTATTATGAAAATTCTTTACTTCCCGTGACTACTATAACCTGTGTTTACCTTGTTCTAGCATAACTGATATCAAATCATTAAGCAGAAGTCTTGACAGTAGAAAAAATACGTTTCAAAAAGTACTGGTATTGTGCCATCAGCACACATTCTTTCTTCACACATGGAGGGGGAAAGAACCCCACTGAAATACCTCTAAAATAGAGGGTGAAAATTTCCATAA